GGATCCAGCTTCCAGGATCCGGGATCCGGGATCCAGCTTCCAGGATCCAGGATCCAGGTTTCAGGATCCAGGATCCAGCTTCCAGGATCCAGGATCCAGGTTTCAGGATCCAGGATCCAGCTTCCAGGATCCAGGTTTCAGGATCCAGGATCCAGGATCCAGGTTTCAGGATCCGGGATCCAGCTTCCAGGTTCTTCCTGGTGGCAGTAATAGAAATCATGTCCAGCTGAGGCGCTGCTCCAGAATCCAGAAGATGATTCCTTCTGGTAGAACGTTTCTGAAGGACAGAGGAACGTAGAACATCAGTGGGTGAAGAAACGTTGGACTGAAGTCTCCGTCAGTCTGAACACTACAGCTTTAATCTGGATTAAAAACAGCTGTTCCGGTTTTCTGGGAGTTTATTCCAGATTAGTGGAGCAGAAAAACCAAAATCTGCTTCTTCTGGTTCTGATCCTGTAGCAGCATCAGATTTGGTTGTCATGGTTACCATGAGGCGTTCTGGTTAGCTGCTGTTCATGGAGCCCCGCCTGGCTTGCGTCTCCATGGTAACCGGCAGACGTATGGCATCACTAACGATGATGATGATGATGATGATGAGCGGGGCGCGCTCTAACTGCTCTTCCTCTCTGCAGAAGCCGGATGCGTAAATCGCGCAGCGAGAAGAGGACGGCGGTGAGGGACGCCCAGGCGAAGCACGTCCACCTGGAGCGCCTGGACGACGCCCTGCAGCCCGACGCCCTGCAGCAGCAGCTGCACCGCCTGCTGCAGCGCTACTGCCAGGACCACCAGGAGGGGGGGGAGGAGGGGGGCGGAGCCGACCCCCACTGAACCCCCACCCCCACCCCCCCATCAGACATTCTTCCTCACATCCGGACGTTCTCCTCTAGGAACACGATTTCTGTTTGGTGACCAAAGAGGGGGCGGGGCCACCATCAGCCCCTCCCCCCATGGGCCTCTGCTGTAGAGACTGTAAATAGAGGAGATGAAGAGGAGGAAGAGGATGGGGGGTTCAGTGAACTTAGTGACCCCTTCATCATCATCACCCCCCCTCCCCGATCAGCAGAGTCTAGATCTGAAGTTCTGAGAACCGTGGAGAACCGATCAGAACCAGGATGGTTCTGGTTCTTCAATCGCTCGTTTTTATCTAATGAAGCCAAAGGGATCCAATCCCGCCTCTAATCCGGCCTCTAATCCCGCCTCCAATCCGGCCTCTAATCCCGCCTCTAATCCCGCCTCCAATCCCGCCTCTAATCCCGCCTCTAATCCCGCCTCCAATCCCGCCTCTAATCCAGCTGTTCCTGAACATCTGGACCAGAAAAAACAACAAA